ACCAATGTTGGACTTTTGGAGGAACCTAAAGAATACCCTCCCTATGCCGTCGCGAATGCACCTGGCGGTGTGACAAAAGTTTTGCTACACACCTATCCATACCTTGACCTATCTTGACCTTGATCCTCAAATAATGTTTTTTTGGGTCGGTTTCCAAACATCAATTCGCATATTTTTCATGTTTTCCCTTGATGCCTTTTTGTTCCGCATTTTGAGAGAAAAATCATGAAAATGATCCTGGGAACTATTGGCAACTTCTGTCCCTGCCAAAATCTTGTGACACAGCAGATTGAACATGATATCAACAAGTTCAAACCGCACACCAAGTAACTTACATCAAAAGTTCGACATGTTTCAGGGCACTGTTTGAGCCCATGTTTTGACGTCAAGTTAGCTATACCAACATTGTCAACGGTCATGTCCGCCAGGGTGCTCAATATTGGGGTCCTCAAAACCAAAAATGAGAAACACAGTGGTGTCTTTGCAGCAGATCGTTCTGCCTTGCTTTAGCGCGCGTTTTTTTGAAAGAGAACTTGTTTTTCGTTGGGGGTTGGCGGGGATTGGCGACCGTCCAACCGTCCGGACACCCATCCATTTGTTCTTTCAGATTGCCATCCCCCAGAATAGGAACCTTATTTTCCCAATGTTTCAGTCCCTCATTGTTTTTGGTTGGGATACTTTCCAAACATCTTGGGGCGCTCCTTGTTGAATCGATATTCTTGTGAATATTGGTGGAACTCTATTTTTGTAGCTCTTTGGCAAAGACCCTCCATAGGTTATACATGATAATATGTTCAAGAACTGAGCCAGCAGTTGGGGTGGGATCGGTTCTTTGTATAGGCGTATATATGAACATAATTTGAATGTTGAAGGAACGACTCTATTATACATATGTACATACACATATATTTCTATATATATATATATAAAAGAAACACACGTGCACTGAACATAGATGGGGTCACACCAAAAAAACAAAATAAAAATGGTAGGTCATGCAGACTCAAGCTTAAATATATAATGTTCATATGACATTTACTCCTAAATATATACTTATCGCAAAAGATTGCATCTTGTTAATGATGGAGCAATATGTTTGATTGATTTTAACCATGTTGGCGGAGAGATCTTGATATCCACTGCAGCTCTAAACAGTGATAAGGGGAAAACCTGACTCACACATGTGTAGCTTGAACTTAGTTGTCCAAAGCTTTAAAATAACCGGCTTGACTTAGATATGGGCAATCGAAACAAATTCCAAAAAACAAACCAGGTGTGAAATTGGCGTGAAAAAGCGTGAAACAGGCGTGAACGGACATTTTTAAGCGTGAAACAACATTTTTAAGCGTGAACGGACTTAGCCCCCAAAACACCTTTTTTTTGTTATTCATATCAATTTCAATGATATGTACTATTAATTTCTACTTTTCTACTTGATCGAGCAAGTTCCAGACGTGCTTTTGGGAGTGCAAGGATGGGGGTTGGCTGTCGGAGCCAACATGATATTGGGCGTGTTTTTTTCAGGGTCAGGGCCAGTTTCAAATATATCTATCGGTTCCACGAGTTTCAGATTCTTCAAAAAGCAGCCTGATATATAGTCAGAACTTTTGCCGACATGTTCCAGAGATGCTGCAAACAATGCATATGGCACATGGGGCACCAGGAAGAAATTGTAGTGCCTGAAGAGAAATGCAGGCTATACGCATACCTTCACGGATGAAGATACCATGCTCTGGAACAAAACAATATGTGCATGATATACTGATATACAGTACATATAATCAGGTATATAAATAAATAAATAGTGACATCGTGTGCATAATCATGTATATACATACTTACCAATTCGTATATACAATATATAAGATACATCAATCTACACTAACTATTCATGCACATATATTTTGACCCTCGAACGATGAGTGTGTTTTGAGATTATTGAGAACATGGTGTGTTTTGTTGTTTCCAAGAGCACTTTTTTCTTCGATGATTTTCTGTTCTGCATTTTGAGAGAAAAATCATGAAAATGATCCTGGGAACTATTGGCAACTTCTGTCCCTGCCAAAATCTTGTGACACAGCAGATTGAACATCATATCAACAAGTTCAAACCGCACACCAAGTAACTTACATCAAAAGTTCGACATGTTTCAGGGCACTGTTTGAGCCCATGTTTTGACGTCAAGTTAGCTATACCAACATTGTCAACGGTCATGTCCGCCAGGGTGCTCAATATTGGGGTCCTCAAAACCAAAAATGAGAAACACAGTGGTGTCTTTGCAGCAGATCGTTCTGTCTTGCTTTAGCGCGCGTTTTTTTTTCAAAGAGAACGTGTTTTTCGTTGGGGGTTGGCGGGGATTGGCGATTAGGTTGTCCAAAAGGGGGGATTTCCAGCCGGACTGGACGCGTCCGAACGCAAACAATATCTTGAGAAGGAATTTTTCTGACGGGCCTCCGTCCAACCGTCCGGACACCCATCCAACAGTTCCAGACATCTTGGGGCGCTCCTTATTGAATTCATATTCTTGTGGATACTGGTGGAACTCTAAAAGACTCTCCATAGGTTATACATGATAATATGTTCAAGAACTGAGCCAGCAGTTGGGGTGGGATCGGTTCTTTGTATCAGAACATATATGAATGAATTGAACGAAAAAAATGTAAAAGGAACGATCCTATGAAAAAAAAGGCATATGCACTGAACAAAAATGGGGTCGTCATACCAAAAAAATCAATTACTTTACTTCGTGTGATCCGCACCGTGACATTTTTACATTTTCTGAATGGCAAATCTTCTGGCATTCTATCTGACATATCTTCTGGCATTCTATCTGGCAAATCTTCTGGCATTCTATCTGGCATATCTTCTGGCATTCTATCTGACATATCCTCTGGCATATCTTCTGGCATATATTCTGACATATCTTCTGGCATTCTATCTGGCATATCTTCTGGTATATCTTCTGGCATTCTATCTGGCATTCTATCTGGCATTCCTAAATCTGGCATCTCGGTGTCTGGGTGCGAATATTGTCTGGGCAACGTCTTCTGGATTCTATCTGGCATAATCCCCTTTCTGGCATATCTTCTTGGCATTCTATCTGGCAAATATCTTCCTGGCATTCTATCTGGCCAAATGGCGTGTTCTGGGATTCTATCTGGCATCTTCTTTGTGTCATTCTAAATCCGACATTTTATCTGGCATACCTTTCTTGGCTTCATCTGCAATATCTCAATTAAGCATTTTATCTGCCAATATCTTCTGGCATTCTATCTAAACATTCCTCTGGCAAATATCTTCTTGCATTCGAAAATCTGGCAAATATCTAAATGAGGTCCGCAGGGAACACTGGGGCGTTGGATGTCCCGTGGTTTGAGTCCGGCAGGAACACTGGGGCGTGGGAATGTCGTGGTTTGAAGGTTCCGGCAGGGAAAACTCGTGGCCGTTGATGGGTCGTGGTTTTGAAGGTTCCGGCAAGGGAACACTGGGGGGCGTGGATTGTCCCTGGTTTGAGGTCCGCAGGGAACACTGAGCAATGGATGGTTCGGGTTTGAGGTCCCGACATGGAAACACTGGGGCGTGGGATGGTCTGGTTTGAGGGTCCGGCAGGGAACACTGGGCGTGGATGGTCGTGGTTGAGGTCCGACAGAGAACACTGTGGATCGCGAGTCGCAGTTGAGCAGGAGGACGAGGAGGACAACGAGAGGAGGAGGACAACGAGAGGAGGAGGCAGGAGGCAGGAGGCGGCAGGAGGAGGAGGCAACTGACATAAAATCTAACAACCCTCACCTGGCAGGTGGGGAAAAAGTGGGAGATCATGAAGACTCAAGGTGTATATTAGGAGTTTTTTTGTATTTGTTTTGCGTGCTGGTGAAAATCTATATTAGGTTATATAATGTTATATACATATTTTTTTGCCAACCAAAGTTTCCCTGTGTAGCCGAGGTATGCCTATTTTTTTCGTAGTATTCATCCCAAGCGACGCCTTTGAATTGCCTTTGATTTCTCGTATCTGTATGTATATATATATATATACATGATATAATATATGTATTCATGAATATTATACATATATATATATATATGATATGTATTTTCTTTATATATATATATACCAGAAATTACGGCAAAGATGTGTCACCGAATCCCATGGGCTCCCTCATGGATCATCTTCATTTCCTTACTTGTCAAACTGGTTGACCCCACTTTTTAAGACATCGATCCATATATTGCCCAAAATCGACATTTCAGTGTTGTTTATGGACTATACCGCGAAATAAGGTCGTGACAATTGGTTGGGCATCAAACACAATTTGAAAGTTACTCTCAAAATTACATTACAACATTTGGGTTGCTGTTGGGTTTGTATTGCGGCAAATTGGCCTCTACTTTAGGAGCCTCCTGGCCCAATCAAAAAAATATTGAAGAGCACTATTCGCTGAATCGGGCTGCTGTTGGAAAAGTCAAACATGGTGACAGGGTCTGCGGATAGATTTGGAACAATGTCTGTTCTATAAACGGACATCTTAAAAATGCACTTTGGACTTTTAGGGTATTGATTTAGTATTGTAGCGCTTTGCACGTACAGAAATAAGGTCGACTCCAGTCGACCTTATTTTCGTACGTGCGCGCGCACGCGGCCAGTGAACGTGCAAACGCACGCACGTACGCGCACACGTCCGTCCACTTGTACGCACACGTCCGTTCACTCGTTCGCTCACACGTGCACTCGTCCGTTCACTCGTTCGCCTTACGTTCGTCACCACGTCCGTTAGCCACTCGTACCCCCTACGTTCACCGCGTCTCTTGGAGCTTTAAAAGCATTGTTTACGAGGCTTTAAAAAAAGCTAATATATATAGATATAGATATAGAGATGGATATAGATACAAATAGAGATATAGATAGATCTCGTATATCGTACATCACATATGTGTATGTATATATATATATATGTAGATATGAGTCTAGATATCATTGTTTAACAGATATTCCAAAGACCTTAGAACCCACTTCCACCGTTGGCCGCTTGGCACCTCTCCGTCAACTGCAGAGCTAGGGGCGGCTCCTCCTCTGCCACTGCAGTGATGAAGGAAGTCTCATCTGCATCTGGCTGCCTGGACAAGAAGCGGAAATTACAACAAGTTCTGAATCCACCATAATGGAATAATATAATGTGATGACATTTTTTGAGCTCAGAAATTCTGACAAGGCATGTTATCAGATATCAATAGATCCCATCTAGTAATTTAACCGTTTGCCATGGCAAGTCACCATTCTTAATAGGTAAATCATCATAAATCATCTATGAATGAGCCATTTTCCATAGCTATGTTAAACAACCAGAGAGTATAATGGGATGTTAGTTGATACAATAATGGGATAATGGGATGTGAATGGGTGTTAAAGGTTTAATGGGTGTTAAACCATTAAATGGAAATTATGTAATGGATGTTTATGGGAGCTGAATCAAAAAACATCCATTTAATGTTAAACATCCCGATGATTCCCATTATAAATGGATTCAATTTAATATGTTTAATGGGAAATTGATTATTGGCGAATTCATGGGGATATGAATGGGAAACTAATGGGGATATTCATGGGATATTACTTGGGAAATACTTCATGGGACATTAATGGATACTAATGGGACATTGTTGGAACATGTCGGAACATAGACAGCTTAAATGATTCGGATTAGGGGAATCGTCCCCAAAATGGCCTTATTTCGGTTCTGCTCTACCGGGTGGTGGGCAGCATGAGAAGTGTGAGGTCTTAGTTCGGTTGATGATATTTTAATTTATGCAAATAAGAGGAAATACGTAACCGATCTGATATGATATGGGTGTGTTTGAAAATGGACTCTGTATACCCAATAAATGGTCATTTTCGAGCGGGAACATACGTAATTCTCAACCATCAGTTTGGGTGTCTTGATTGGAATGAAAGTGGAAACTTGCTGCTGTTCATGTATTGGAATTGAATAGGTGTTGGAAAATCTGGAACGTGGGTAGAATATGATTGGACATTTGCTGTACACATTGTCCACAACCTTCTTGCGATATGAATGAATATATCAATATGTGTATCCATGTATTGGAAAACGCAGAAAATGATGAAAATGGAGGCTGAATATATTTATAAAAATAATTATATATGTATTTATATACAGTATACATATGTATGTGGAATAGTGGCGGTCACATTTTAGAAAAAATGTGGCAATGTTGGGAAATAAATGGAAATATATGGAAATATGACATGTGGAATAAAATAAAAATAGAAGCGTATTCGACATACAGTTGGTACATATTGAACACATGGAATGCTACATCGACCATTGTTGGATGATACTGTTCTTGTATGTCCTCGTTATGTCAATAGTGAATTGTTCTTGTTATTGGAGGATCTTGCATAACTATTGGACAAACTTGGTCACCGGATTGTTTTCCAGGAAAGTATCTGCTGGAGATTTGGGGATATAGCCACAGTATACACATGTATCCACAGGCACCAATCCATTTGTGTTTTTTCTCTGGTCATCAACCATTGCTAGCTCGATTTTTTTCAAACTAAACTTTCAATGGGAAAGTCATCAAACTAGTTGGGATTCTCGAGCTAGCCATGTTTGTTAGTCCAAGAATCTAATTACTAATAACTAATAACCATTAAAAACACCATTCATCTAGTTGGTATTTAACTGGTAATTACTAATAATCTGTGATTTAAATTACTAATAACCATTCATCAATCTTAATTACCAGGGGCCAGAGAGTACTTCAAATCACAGATTGCACGGCATCTGAGGGCCTCCTTCGCTGCAGCAAAGCCAAGGCTAGAGTCAGAATCTGCTCGGCCTCATGGAATCTTTGCGGCCAAGTGAAAACCGGGCTGTGGGAAACATAACTATAAATCATCCTTCAAGTTGACCAGAACTTATTCGTGCTATAGTATAAACCAAAACTGGCCTTGCACAATTCAGATTCAAACATGTTTACATCCATGTTCAACCATCCAAACCAGGAGTACTATGGACACCTCTCTCAACCCACTGCCTCTCCATCTGAGCTTCCGAAAGTCAATGGACCTTGCGAGTCCATCGTGATTTTTGGGTTGATTTTTTTTCACATTTCCAGGAAACCAAAGATTGTCCCCTCATCCATTTTAATGGATTTTTCCGTTATAAACCCTCCAAATCATCCATTTTAATGGGTTTTAATCAATTGTGGGAGGAGGCTCATGCCGACTAGCTGCTACGATCGGATCTGCTCAGGTGCCATCCGGATGTGGCCCTTGATGTAACGCCAAGGCCGACTCCGGTAAGAAAAAACATGGGAATGTGGAACATCCACCGGTTTGGACAAACGGGTTTTCCAATGTTTACCTTAAATAAAATGAAAATGACTTTGCTTCGGGTGATCCCCACTGTGACAAATTATTTTGTCATAGTTTCTGAAATCTCATCTGGAAGTCTTTATTCTGACATTCTATTCTGGCATCTTTTCTGGCATTCTATCTGACATTCTATTCTATCATTATACCTGGCATCTATTCTGACATTTTCTCTGGCATTCTATCTGGCATTCATTCTGGCATTCTATCTGGCATCTGTTCTGACATTCTTTCTGGCATCTTTTCTGGCATTCTATCTGACATTCTATTCTATCATTATACCTGGCATCTATTCTGACATTTTCTCTGGCATTCTATCTGGCATTCATTCTGGCATTCTATCTGGCATCTGTTCTGACATTATTTCTGGCATCGTTTCTGACATTCTATCTGGCATCTATTCTGACATTCTTTCTGGAGTGTAACGTGTAAAGTGTAGAGTGTGGACTGTAAAGTGCTGAGTGTGGAGTCTAAAGGAAAGTGTAGAGTGCGGAGTGTCAAGTGCAAAGTGAAGTAAAACATGTAGAGTGTAAAGTGTAGAGTGTGGAGTGTGAAGTGTAAAGTGTAGAGTGTGCAGTGTAAAGTGTAGAGTGTGGAGTGTAAAGTGCAAAGTATAGAGTGTGGAATGCCAAGTGTAAATCGTGAAATGTAAAGTGTAGAGTGTGGAGTGTAGTGTAGAGTGGGGAGTGTAAAGTGTAAAGTGTAGAGTGTGGAGGTGGAGTCTGGAGGGTAGTGTAAAGTGTGGAGTATAAAGTGTAGTGAGTGTGGAGTGCGAAGTGTCGAGTGTAGAGTGCATACAGTAGGTCCGGCAGTGCCCACTGCATGAGATCTCTTGAGTTCCGGCAGGGTTGAGTGCCCACTGAGATCTGGAGCTCGCAGGACGGAGGAAGTAACCCTGGTAAAATCTAGAGACCATCAACTGGCAGGCGAGGATAGCATCCCCTGGGTCAGCAACGCTCTGACAGGTAACTTTGCACTCGCTGCCTCGGGATCGGTTGACCCAAAGGAGGGGCTCTACATGGGGAATTTCGTGTGAAACAACAAGTTTCTCTGTTGTGCTCTTGCAAGATCAATAACAATATATATATACATATAATTGGGGTCTGCTGCCTGGCTTTTAACTTTGATGTCCTAACTTGTTGCTGTTGATTCCATGAAGTGATGCGAACCAGCCCCGGTTGTTCTCTGCACCATGACTAGGATGTCTGTGGCTTGGCAGTGCAGTAAGCAACAGCAAACAGAGCAATTCTGGAAAAGAAACTGCAATTGGTTAATTAAACCATATGTCACCTTAAATGTCAATTACATCCAATGGAGCAACACCCCACATGGCATCACAAAACTGGACCATCCATGACACAACTTGGAAATACCCCCCCGTCACATCCAGCCACCAAACACACCAAAATGACAAAGTGATAGATCTACCCCGGCCGCTTCTCCCACTGTGTTGCTGACTGCAGGTCTGCATCGGCTTGTATAAGGGATGATTCTGGTATCCTGGAACGACAGCAGGCCACCATCCTCGTAGACACACCCAAAGGAAGTACGAGTAGGATCAACTGCATCTCTTAGTTTGTGTTCAATTCTGAATGACAAACACTTCCATACTTTTAATGATGGTGGTACCACCACCAGAAATTCTGAAAAATCTACCCGCAACCACTGCTTGAATTACACAAGAGGAGTCATGTCGCATATTACTAGTTCATAGCATCACTTCAACCACGTCACAATGCGTGATGTTTGGCAAGCTTCATGGAGAACCTCAAAACTCTTCCTTGACATCGGCTGACAATCCCAGTGCCGCCGCACTTTTTTGTACATTGTCCAAGTCTTGTGCATTGGCTTCCCAACTCCGCGCCCTACACGGGGATTTCTGAGCGGTGACCCTGTACGCACGACAACCTTGGATGCTGCCGACATTCGGATCCTCGAAAAACGGGCAAATATACAGAGATCATCACGCGTATTCAATTGCAGGGTGCACAACAGAGACCAGCACAGTTGCATTTTTTCGCAATCCCCAAAAAGATAGGTTAAAGTATATTTTAGCACTATTTCGGTAGGGTTTACTTTTCTATATTTTTCGAGGGGGTTCATTAATACAATTGTTTTGAGGAATCATGTCGCTGAGACCAGGAAGGGCCAACCATAGGACACCGCTTCCACCAACAAACTCTGCTGCGGACACTGCTCGGGAACATCAAATACGCATGATGATTATACATTATAAACATTGAATATTACACATATCATCACATATCATATATATTTATAGTACATATTTATTATATATACGTGTTAAACATTGTTAAACTATAAAGAAAAACTACAAATATATCAAATACATTAATGACATATCATCTACCATTTATTGATCATGACTAGCAACTCGTATTTCAAAATGTGTTGGTACTCTTGCTGGGCCCAGAAATCCTCATCCGCTTCATCAGCATTTGGGACGTGGGTCAATCTGGTCAGTTTCTGCAAGTGTACTATTTCTACGTGCATGTCTAATTTAATATAAATTCACATTCTGTTCATAAGTTCTGTTCATTGGATTTCCTACCGCAACATCCCAATCCATATTCCGCTCATCTTCGATATTTGAAACAAAAATACATGGTAATTTTCAGGTGAAATGACCCACTGCATCACCATCATTGCTCAGGCCTGATGCAGTTCGCACCGCTTTGGGTGCGCTTACAATGCCTCGAATTCCTCCAGTCTCACTCTGCTCAGGGCGACTTCGGCGACCTGGGATGCGGATCGTGGGATGACCCCCTGTTGATTCCAGTGGCTGCCCTGTTGATACTTCCCTTCCAGAAGGGGGTTCTGGGATTCCACACCACGAAGTAATCATTGGTTGATCCACAAAGGCACTTTGTTGACAAACTGTCGAATCGACACAGTTATGACTCATAATCCATTGTGGCAAAGGTTGTAAAAGGAGCACAAAACACAGGCGCGAAAGGGAGTTTGGATCTGATCTCGTCAAATCATGCCTGGAACCCTGCGACTTTGGGTTGAACCGTTCAATGCTTTGGGATGCCATTGACTTGTTTTTGTTCTTAACATGGGGGAGTACCTTAACATGTCATGCAATTTTACGACAAAGTTATATAGAAAACAACAATTTAATGAACTAACTGGGTATCACTGCATATTAAATACTATTAATATGCCATATCAACCGCAAAATTACGTGCATATATATATATATTAATATGATATATAATTATAATATATTATAATATATTATAATTAAATTATATTTATGATATTTATTTATTATTAACTACAGTAGTCACTACCATACCCAGCCCTCATGCAGTGTAACCAAGGCCCAGCCTCTCGTTGTTCCTTCGCCTTCGCCGCTGCACACTTCACGCAGCTCAACGTGGTCTGTCTGCGTTGTCCGCAGCGGCGGCAGAAGTTCCCATCCTCCCGGGGAAGCTGCCTTTGGGGTGTCTGAAAATTGGGTAAACCCCTGCCAATTGCGAGTTCAAAGAGGGAAAATGATGATACTTTTATTTAATCCCATGGATTCTAGGAGTACACTAGTTTCAAACAAACCCATAATGAACACTCCATAACACTCACATATTAGAACACATTTGGTGAACATAACACTATATGATACTATATGATTATGGAACATGTTTCAGGAAAAAAGTGTTCACCATGTTTATTGGTCGGCCTTTAATATCCAAGGGGAGTGTTGACCAATCACCAACGACCGAACAAGGAAGAACAGGAATATCATGGAAATATGCCGAAAAAATATGGGATGTAATCAATCATCATATTTGTTTACAATGATTGTGATGTGTCCAAGTTGCATCATTTTGCAAAAAGTAAATATTAAATTTTTGGGGATGATGCCCCTTTCCCAATATATGGCAGTGTGTCAAAACCAATAGTACCCCTTCTGTTCACATCAAGTCATAGCTGGGTTAAAATGGATGTTCATCCCATTAAAAATGGTATTTTCATAGGTATTGATCCATAGCCATATCCAACATGATCATTCCATGGTGACCTTCGGGTCTTCGGTCGTCAGCTTCGTCAGCTTCGTCGGTCCTTGAGATGTTTGGTGCCGCAGCGCGCACATTCGTCCCGCGGCCTCGGCCGCAGCGTCGCATCCACGCGGCGCTGCATCGCATGTTCCAGGTCGTTGAGGTTCCAAATTCCCAGGGTGGAACACCAGTGCCTCACACTCATCCACTGTGAAAAATGGTGATTTAATGGTGATATAATCATGATATTAGTTACTGGGATATTGATGGAAATTTAAGTTGTGGCAATTGATTCAATGCGCACTCAACTCACATGATGTAAATTAAGTGGGGCAAGAATGGGCAAAAAGAAAGCCACCAAACCCGGGCTAGTTATTCTTAGTTGAAGGCATCAATTAAATGCATTTAACATCATTTAACTGCGGCATAATGATTTCCAGTATGAATGGATGTAACTAGTTTGAAACTCTGGTTATAACTTCCAAAATGGGTTTGGAAAATCCAGGTGGGCCCACAGCTTGACCTTTGAACCATGGACATCCGATCAAATAGGGTACTTGATGAGTCATCGTGGACATTGGATCAGGGATTTAAGTCGTCATTCAGTCAAAATTTTAATTAAACGACATATTGTGGTTAAATAAATATGGATTTCTGATGATTTCTGGCTCACCACCCATTTGAGCAATGAAATCCATTATATATACTGGCTGGTTAATAGGTGTTCCTACTATGGTTCCAAAAATGCTCCCGAATAACCCAGGTATTCCCAGCCCAGTACTTCATAACCGATCAATCATCATTTGTCAATGGTTTGTTTCCCCATAATTTTGATGGTAAGAACCCCATTTAGAACATATGAAAGCACCATATTTAATTTTATGGCTAAAAGCAACCGATATCAATCCGTCAAAAGGATTCAAAAGGGGTATTTTGAACACTGCTCATTTGTTCCTTCAACTCTAGCTTCAGCCAAGGTTTTCGCTGGTTACATCCACCAATTTTGCTGGTATATAATCCATATTCCACAACTTTAGATTGTTGAACCGTCTGTTTGCTGGTGCACCTTCGATTTTTAGATATCAAGGTGATTAGTTGTATCCCCATGATCATGCAATGATCAACATATAATTAATCTCACATGACTGTCCCATTACGGTAATACTAGTTGTAACCCATGATGGTTAATATGTTTTTTGACCTGCAAGCCAACTCACATGCGCCGCCGATTCAACCGCAAGCCAGAATTTGGAAGTCCCACATGGCAAACGCAATTCCCATCAATTCCCTGCTTAATGGTGAATCTATGTTAATCATTGTTAATCTAATCTGTCAATGGATCTTCATCCCCCCAAAGCCGTCAAGGGCCACACCGGCAGCATATGGGGATGGGTCAAAACCCTGGTACCTTTTGTTCACCCCAAGTCATAGCTGGGTTAAAATGGATGTTCATCCCACTATAGTAATGTATCTATAGGTATTGACCCATACCCATTTATCATCATTATACCAGCTATTTTGATGTTCCCCAGGGGATTCCCATGGGCAAAATGCCCAGCACTGCCACCCATATCAGCCCTCCATTTTGGTCGCGGCACTGAATTTTCTCCACCAGCTCTGCCTTGGCCAAGCCCTGCAGCTCGTCCTTCAGCTTCCGCCGCTGGAGCTCCAGATATCGGCGCCGGTCCTCGCGGATCAGCGTTCCTGGGTGGAGCGGTCCGTCCCACGGGGGCGCGATGGGTTCACCATGGAGAACCGACCATTGGATTCACCAGATTCACCCAGCAAAAATGATGGGTTGAGGGTTGAAGCTGAGGAAAAAATGGTGAATTTTCATGAATTTTCACCAAAAGATTGGTGGCCATCAACAATGTCAGGAAACATGAGAAGGAAAAAAAACGGTTACAAAAAGCGGTCATCCTATGACATTCCTAGAGTGACACAGACCGAATGCAGACGCAACCAAAAACTGGGTGGCTGAGCCATGCATCACAAGCAAAACAAGGCCACAGAAAAAACACAGGTTCAGATGGCTAGCCAAGTGATGTGCCAGCGGTTGCGAAAGCTACGGTCTAGGACCCGAATGCCGGTGGCGGGGAACCAAGCCCTGATTGAGCCAGGCTGAATGGCCACTGGCAGCGCCTCAAAAAAAGGAAGAGGAAAAACATCTCCTTGGGAGAAGAAAAAACTTCAGTCCGGAAACTAAAAGCAGCCCCCACTCAGGTGAAGAAGAAGATGCTGGCAAACCGTGAGATCAACAGCAACTTCATGGAATCATGGGTCCAAAGCCAATGCTGCACCAAGGTCCAGGGGAAGGCCGGCTCTGTCTCCCACAACAGCTTGCCGGCGACGAATGGCCCGCCCGCTGGCGCGAGCCAGCAAGACAGCAACTTGGTCACTGAACCGGCTCTTCACCACTCCGGGATCCAGCCCTTCGACCACAGCAACTGCCCCGCACAGGCGGTGGACAAAGGCCCGAGTCTCAGGCGTGCTCCCACCTTGGGCCTCCCAGACCAAGGGGAGATAGCGAACCCCAGCAGCTTCACACAGGCCCGCAGTCCTGTTGTGAGCCCGCTTGCGCTGAGCATAGGCCAAGCAGGCAGCTCCAGCCGCCTGTCGTGTGGCGTCCCAATGGGTATCCCCCAAAGCATTCACGACAGCGATGTCTAATGCCAATGGAGGTGGGTTGTGGGGCTGCGCGCCGTCAGGCAAGCGAGGCACCAGACCAGTGGCGGACCGCACCAAGACGTCTGCAGGGCGTCGCTGGCCATTCAGGAGCCCAGGGGCTTCAAGCACTGGGCGGACCTGAGCCCGTTGGCAATAGTCAAACACCAGATCGCGAAGACTGTTGTGGAGGGCCACATGGTCGCCGCCAGCCATGCAGCTCAGAGCATGTTAATAGCAGCGGGTGAATTGAAGCACCCAAGAATTTGATGGGGGAAATGATGCAAAAGAACAACATAGGATTGAATGGGGTTTCACAACACATAAACACAAACCAAATCATGGATGATCTTGGGGGATGCAAGCAAGTAGAATGTGGTTGTCATGAGGAGCGGTGATAGAACTTGCAAACAGAAAGGTTGAAGATCCTTGAAGCAAGAGGAAATGGTGCATGACCAAAAACAGTAGAAATGCATACATGAACAAACCGCGAGGACACAAGAGACATAACAATGGGAATGTGCCATACGCTACAAGACATGGATTATATTGGGTTATCAACCGGCAAACACGAGGCTCTGGAACATTTGGGAACGGGAAACAAGCTGATGTGTTTGGGCCTACTTACCACTTATGTGCTTCCAGCTGCCATGCCAGACCTGAAATGTATGGTCATTTGTTGGGATCCAAGCTTTGGCAAACCACCATCATACTAGGAAACCAACTTTCTAAGCACCCATCAAGAAAACATGAAGAGAAATCAACACAAATCAACATCTTTGCGATGATACCCCTTAAAACCAACCAAAACCAGGCATCCCGGTTCATCCCCACTTCACCTCTGAAAAATGCTATGTTCCAAGTTTCTGGTATCACTGGCACCCCAAGGGAACTCTTGACACCAGCCACGTCCCGGTGCATCTGCAGATCTGCTGCGTGGCACCTCCCAGGGCTGCCTCTTCGGTGGGCTCGGCGGTCGCCCGCGGGTCACCGGCTCCGCTGGCGCAGCAAACTCCGCGGCGCTGGCGCTGGGGCGCGCCGTGGCGCCGGGCCCTGCAGGGCTTTCAATGGCTATGGATCAAAAACCTATGGAATCTCCATGGTGTTCATACCGAAATAGCTGGTAGTTGAGCATCTTCATCCCAACCTAAATATGGCATTTCATAGTATGAAATAGCTAAGAAATAGCTCATTGATGGTAATTTGATCCATCCCCAAAGCATTTCGAAACGGCGACCCCTGCCTGCCGTTCCTGTCCCTGTCCCTGGCCGATCCCCGAGCAGGCGCCGGTTCTGCGCCACCGCCGCGTGGAAGCGCGCGATGTCGGCGCTGTGCTCCGAGAGCAAACTCGCCTCGCCGTCCGGTGCCGGCGAGGCCTCCAGGGCCGCCGCGGTGATGGGCTCCGTCAGCGACATCGCGGGCGTCGCGCCAGGTCGGCAGAGTCCAAGACTTGTGCGTTCCAAGGGCACCAGGAATCAACATTAAAGGAATCATATGGAATACATGGAATGGCATCACTAAGTTTTGTAGTTCACTGTAGGGTCTGAAGGGAAAACAAGTGATGATATATGGATATCACTAAATTAAACGAAGACTTGTAGGAATGGAAGGTTTCAAAAATTTCAGTTGGACCTTTTTGTGGTCAATCCATGACTTCTTTCAGTTTCTAGTGTGCTCTTTATTGCTGCGTCACGCACTAAAATATGCCGGGAATCAAAATGAGGACCTCTCAAACTCGGTCCCAATCATGTCCTGCAACTTAAGGTTTAGGACTGCAATCCGCAATGTTAGATTCCCTAATGATCCCCCAATTCATCTTGAAAACACTTGCACTCTCTTTTAGACATGTAGAAATAAATGACGAAATGAAATATGATACTGTTTACAATATTTTACGGTCACTTCTAATACAGGTACCATATCTGCAACCATCAACCTATGCAGCCTATGCGAATGTGTGCCTCGCCTCAAGATGGGCCGCCCATAGAAGACAGGCTTCTCCAGCAACGCTGTGCCCTGAGTCGATGCCACGAATCCGATCTTTGACCCGGAAAAGATGCGGTCGCCACATTTGGTGTTACCTGCTGGACTTATATACTATTATATATATATATACACACACTATACATATGATCTGGTCAAATTACTATATTTCACGGGTCGTGGGTCGAATTTCATATTTCAAGGTATGGAATTAAGCAAGGTCGTGGTGACTTAATGAAAATATGAGGTCGTGCTCCCAGAAGACGTGCAGCCCCACTTTTCAAGTCAGACGAGGACGGCTCCGCAAGCTAGGAGGGAAGCCAGCCTACGGCACTGCGGTAGGAATCTTTCCATCTCTGGATGGGGTGGGGGAGGGCTCGGAGGGAAGCCAGCCTACAGCACTGCGGTAGGAATCTTTCCATCTCCGGATGGGATGGGGGAGGGCTAGGGGAGGGAAGCCGGCCTACGGCACTGCGGTAGGAATCTTGACGTCTCCGGATGGGGTGCGGGAGGGCTTGGAGGGAAGCCAGCCTACGGCACTGCGGTAGGAATTTTTACATCTCCGGATGGGATGGGGGAGGGCTAGGGGGGAAGCCAGCCTACGGCACTGCGATAGGAATCTTGACGTCTCCGGATGGGGTGCGGGAAGGAGGGAAGCCAGCCTACGGCACTGCGGTAGGAATCTTTCCATCTCCGGATGGGATGGGGGAGGGCTAGGGGGGAAGCCAGCCTACGGCACTGCGGTAGGAATTTTTACGTCTCCGGATGGGGTGGGGGAGGGCTAGAAGGAAAAGCAGCCTACGGCACTGCGGTAAGATTTTTTTTACATCTCAAGGGAAGAAAAAAGGATGCAGGCACAGGAGAAGAACATTGACAGTGGAAAAACATCGAATCAGCACCCTCATAGTTCACTTGCACATCACGAGCTTAATTCGGTATCTAGGTCAAATTTCAAGTGAGGTCGTGTGACGTCGCTGTAATTTGCTCAGATATGATATGATAGATTATATATTATGAATATATTATGAATATTAACATATTCTGTAATTATACTTGAGAGCAAATCCAGGTGTATGACGTTTCTGTTTATGTGTCACTATGTCACCCTGTTAAAAGTCTCATAAACATCAATTGATCAACTGTTTCGTGGTGCAGCACCAAGGCAGAAGTGGTCGGTTTTCTTCGCAGCCAATGTCATTTTCCCTATGGCCAAAGGACAGCCTACACCGGCACCGCGGAGTGTGAAGCCAAAACCATTCCAAGTGCCAAAAAAACAAAAATTATGAACATGCATGATGCATCAACCATACTTCGCACCAAGCATTCCACTCGATTGATCAATATCTTTTTGGTGCAGGATGTCCTTCAAAAGTACTGGCCCGCCCTAAGAAATACTAACACGATCTCACTTTGGAGAGCGACGGCGTCGCGCAGCCTTCGCCTTACAAGCAAGGCCAGGCCTCATCTGCGTGTCGCTGTTCGACTATCGGTCACCCACTCCCACGCCACCATTCCTGGCACAAATGAGCGAAATGGTTGGTATAGACCTTAAATCATCCCCAAATGGTGGGTTCATTATTGGGATTATATAATATTATATGTATAATGTTGGTAAAACAATAATAAACCATCCATTTGGGAATGGTTTATACCACCTACTTGAGAAGGGGTGACACGAAAGGTAGTTGTGTCACAGGGGACGCGGGGGATCACTCAGTGCGAAAGCCGACATGCGACCGGGCCCTTTTCTGCTGACACCAAGCCTTAGGCTTGTCAATATGGACGTCATGCGCTAGCAAATCACCGCTTTGACAGAACGAAGGGAAAATTTCTGTCCAACCGGAGCATGGAGAAGCGCCGACGTTCCTTTGCTTCACCCGTTTGCTTGCAAAAAGTTAAAGTGACGTGGCAAATGGATGTCGAAAAAAACGAATCGCAAGTCGAATGATGATGATGATGATGATGATGAGGATGATGACGATGATGCTGATGATGAGACACTGCGAAGGGGCTGCTGCGTGAAGAGACGCACAAGGCATGTGACGAGAGTTCACTTGGGGGGGGAATGGAACTGGACATTCAGAGCAGAGCGGAGATATCTGGATCCGAAAAGAGAGCACCCCACGATGTCCATGGTTGCTCATCACTTAGTCCATGTAAATAGCCATTTGGAGGTATACATTGTCAGACACACGCATCGTGCGGGGAAAAAAAACGATCAGTGTTAGCACAAACTCCAATGTCTCTTTTTGCGGTACCTATGGATGCTCGAACCTGTCACTTTCATCGCACCGTTGGGTACGTGGAAAATGGATGTCGAAAAATCCGAATCGCAAGTCGAATGATGATGATGATGATGATGATGAGGAGGAGGAGGAGGATGATGACGATGATGCTGATGATGAGACACTGCGAAGGGGCTGCTGCGTGAAGAGACGCGCAAGTCACGAGAGTTCACTTGGGGGGGGGCATGGAACTGGACATTCAGAGCAGAGCGGAGATATCTGGATCCGAAAAGAGAGCACCCCACGATGTCCATGGTTGCTCATCACTTAGTCCATGTAAATAGCCAATTGGAGGTATACATTGTCAGACACACGCATCGTGCGGGGAAAAAAAATACGATCAGTGTTAGCACAAACTCCAATGTCTCTTTTTGCGGTACCATGCGGTACCTATGGATGCTCGAACCTGTCACTTTCATCGCACCCTTGGGTACTTGGAAAATGGATGTCGAAAAATCCGAATTTCAAGTCGAATGATGATGGTGATGAGGAGGATGATGATGATGATGTTGATGATGATGATGATGGTGATGATGACGAGACACTGCGAAGGGGCTGCTGCGTGAAGAGACTCACCAGGCATATGGCGAGAGTTCCCTTTGAGGGGGGGGGTGAGGAGGGGGGTCCCTTTCTCCTGGTCGTTCAGGGATAAGGGGTCCAGCCCGCCCCTTTGCTTCGCAAAGTAAAACTCAAGGTAGCCCGCTAGGAGGCTACCTTTCGTGATTTATGGTGATTTGGGGGATTGTTTATTATTGTTTTACCCACACTATACGGGATTGTATGAAACTTAATAAATGGCCATGGGTCAAAAGCCGGTACCCCTGTAATCCCCTGTCATTCGCATGAAAAATAGCTGGCAAGCCGATGTTCAATTCCCAACATTTGGTACGCTAGGTATTGACAGATCCCGAAATGAATTTCCCAGAGAAAAGGAAAATGACCCTTTGCCGTGTTTGATCGCCGGGTGTTCGCTGTGTGGTCAACATTCATCCTCGAAGGTTTGTTCCATTGAATCATATTGAATCAAAGCACATGGTTTCTGGGAAAGTTTAAGATAGTTTAATGATAGTTTATATAATGATGTTTAATGTGCTGCGTCACCTAGAATCTGTAACGTGTGGGTTTTGTCTGAAAATAAGGGACCCCAAAATCAAATGGTGTACGATCATTTTGCCATCAAGCTGCCTGTAGATTTTAGATGGGTATCCCCATTTCAGACACACCCACGTATTCGGTGAGTCAGATAGTCAAACTGTCACAGCGCACAGCAACCGAGTTTTGCAGTATTGTAGATCTGTTCATTGTAGGTTCCCAAAAAATAAAAAGCGGCATTCGTCTGATCATTCTGATAGGCATCGGATCCCTCTCCCATTGTTCTTGGAGATATTTTAAACTAGGAGAATTCCTGAAGAACCCACTGATGAAAAAGTAAGGCCAAGAATCTCCCAATCAACAAACATCAGATCAGAATCTCCCACTAAGTAACACGATAACACTCCATCCGTAGAACATCCCTGGCGCCTATAGGTACCAGCGGCATACTTGGGCATCTTCACCCCTTTTGGCTCAAAAACCTGTAACGACGCTGAGTGTGGAGGACCGGGTAGGACGGAGCAGTGCCTGGCTACAGACTTTTTCGCTTTTGAGATCTGAGATTTTTGGGGTCTAAGTATTAAAACGTCTGTTTATATAAACTAGTTCAACGTCTGGTGAAACTAGGGGTTAAAGCCATAAACATGTTGGTTTAGCCGAAACCTATGAAACTGGTGGAGGTTCATCTACCGAGTTTTGCATCACTCGCCCATATCGCCCAGGCCGCTCCCTTCTCCATGGGTCCACCTTCACATAGTCGATGTCAAAATATGCCTGGCACAGTGGGGATCTGGAGGGTCATCCCACTTTTGTAAGTGGTTAACAACCATAGTGAATCATCCATTTATAACTGGGAACATCCACTGAATGGGGACGGGGACTTATTATTTATATCAGTTTAATTCATTTTTATATCTATTTATCAAGGGTCCTAAGGTTGACCTTGGGTAGTCTTCTTGTCAGGTTTGATGATTCAAAGTCTAAGCCTTTAAAGTAGAGGTTCAGATGCACTATCCGTCAATGAATGAACCGCCGCGCTTTGGAAAATCACCATATGTTTAACTGTTTGAATATGTTTGTAATGGGCAAATCATGGTAAATCATCGAAGTAAATGTGCGTATGTAAATGTGCCATCTATACCAGTTTGCAGACTGTTCGTTTAGGTATCCCATTCATATTCCATGCAATCCGCATTTTCTATGGTTGAATACCTTCCTGCGAAGGAGGCCATGGCCAACATATCCAACATCTCGATCCCTCGCCAGTTGCACCTTTGTCTTCAAAGGTTCTTCTGCCGAGGGGTTCGACATGTAGATGGTGCAGCAGTCCTGGTGTCAGGGTCAGAACACCAAAAAACAACACCAAAAAAGAAACATGTATAAAACCCATTACTGTAGTGGTATTATATTGACTAATTATTATATTATTATTGTACTATATAATATTGTCAGGGTGAAAAATACTGTTTTCAATCCCAGGGATGACTGGAACAAGCAGGAATTGCACTCCAACGGACCAAGATGCAAGGTCTACTTTGGGGGCTCTTGTATTTTTTATATGTTTTTGGACCAATGGATCAAATTCACATATATATTCATCATATTTAATCATATTCACCATCGACTTCTGAAAGTTGACGTCTCCCCATGGCTCCGTGGCAGGCTCAGTCACGTGACCCGGGACGCAGTAGTTGGGGATGAAACCTGCGTTGCCGCAGAGTTTGTGGCCATAATATATATATATATGATATATATATATATGGGACTATGTGGATTACATCCCTACTATAATGGATAACTAGATATGAACAGTTGGGATATAGATGGAGGAGTTGCTTCCTGTGTTGGGAGTTCCATGGAGTTCCACTCGTTTTTTTGCGAACGTGAGCAAAGTGTCAGCAGGTTGAACTATGCATCTTGCCCTGATCCAGCATTTGATGGGTCACCTTCCTAGGAGAGGAAGAGCAGACGAAGTTGGAAGAAAGAAAGGAGACAAAGGAGGAAGAAAGGAAGGAAAGAAAGAACAAGAAAAAAATGAAGACAATGAAGAACACAATTGAAACAAAGAGAAACAGAGAAAAACAAAAGAAAGAAAGAAAGAAAGTAAGCGAACCTGGAAGGAGTTGAAGCCTCACATCAATATTGTCAATATGCTTCAAACCAGGTCTAGAAAGACCCTCGGCAACAGGTCCTTGCAGGTGAGCAAACTTTCTCCCATGGAGCCACCACCCAGACCTTTCCCCCGCCTGTGTTTTTGCACTCCTTGCAGCTGTACCACCTTGGGCACTCCGTAGGTGCGGCAGTGAGGGGAAGTCCCAGTTACCCTCAGATCTAACCAGCAACGGGGAGAATGAATAGCGAATAGAGATAGAACAAACAAAAACCTGGAAACAACAGTTTTACATAGGGTTTTATCACGTTTCCCCCAGACCCACAGGTTTCGCTGTTCAGAAGACGCCCAAGATGGAAGGGCAGGTCCCTGTTTTTTGAGACATCAAGTTGATCGTAATTTTTCTGAACCCCTCACAAAAACATAAAAAGACCGTTCTGCAAATCATCTTTCGAACCATTTTTTTCGTTCCTTTTTTTTAGTTGGGTCTCCAGGTTCAAACTCAGTCCCACTTCGAAAACCCCTCCCAGGGCTGCCCCACGCATTGCCGGCCCAATCGCCACAGAGGGCGATATTGAGCACAATCTCCTGACGAGCTGCAGGATGGATCAACAGGATATCAAAGGGTGTATATATTTTGACCAAAAATGGGGATGGGTCGGGTCAAGTGTCAAGTTTGCAATCCCACTGTTTTTCCCTATCCGGAACTAAGTGAGTGAGTAGTGATTCATACTGTAAATGTATTCTATGTACCCGCACACGTCCCAAATTGATCCAAATGTCTGCTACATTTGGCATGAGTTTACCATGAAGAATTTCTCAAATGTAGGTCACGGTCTCAGAAAGAATTCTGGGTAAATTATGAAATGATAATGTGCCTAATAATGTGCGGTCATTTTCATAGAGTTACCCTTTCTATCAGCCATCTACAGATCCAAAAGGGTATCCAAGCTTTTGACCCTTCCAGAGCTGTGGAAATCGCATCCCAAACCCGCTCCTGCGGATGAGCAATGTCGACCTAGCTGCAAGATAGGTGGAGCAGCAAATGGGTATGACTCAAAATATCACCCCCCCAAAAAAATAATGGTTTCAATCGAATGGTGCTCCAAAGCAGCGCCGCAAAACCAACCAAAATTAGAGTTGAACGGACCAAATCTTGCTATATTTGGGAGGATGAACATCCATTTACCAGTTATTTGGGGTTCACTAGGGTACCAAGGTTTTGACTCATACCCATATGTGGCATTGATGTGCTTTTTTTAGGGGTCTGAAAAAGCGGTCTGAAACCTTCAGTCGTCGGACAGTCAAACCCTCTTGACCAATGTCTTTAGGTCGGTACCCCATTTTCGAGACATGGCCAAATGTTGATACAGGAAAATAGGCTGCAGCATGTTGTAAACATCTCAAATTGAATTGACTGTTGCTCGCTACAGTACAGTAGATGTTTTGAGATGTTTTGAGATGTTTTGTATGTGGATTATGATGCGGAAGGAAATTTGCACCACAATCCTCTGGAGTTGTTGACCCAAGTTCTACTCGGTTCACGGTCATCAAATGTCATCAATGTCGACAGGCTATCAAGTTCTGATCCCTTTGCCAAACTTATATGCTGAAACATCATAAACATCTAGCACTTTCTTCCAATTCTCTGTGGCCATTGGTACCCCTATTCTTGACGCATCAAGCCAAAATATGGATAGTATATGTTCTATACATTTAGCTACACCCCCCCCAAAAAAAAAGTATTGGATCTACCATCCATATAATGGATCATATATATGGATATCGGCTTCTCCGATCCCATCCAAAAAATTCGCCGAGCTGCACAGGTCTTGGGATCAAAGGGCATAAAGGCCATCCGCCAGATGGCTGGCCACGTGTTCCTCAGAGAATTCGCCATGGAAAAAACCCGTCCGGAAACACATCAAAATCGCCGGTGGATTTTAATATGGATTTATGGATGATCATCCCCTAAAATGGATAAACATGGTATTTATACTATTTATACTATTTATATGTATGTATATCTATAGGATTTTATAGGTATGGATCCATAGCCAATTTCTGTTTCTATAGTTTGAAGATTTCTGTGGCGGTCCATTTTTCAGAAGTTCACTCACAGTAGCTGCACTGCCGGCTAGAAACTGCTGTTTCGAAAGGGGGTATAAATGGGTATAAATAGCTGTAAGATGTTGTAAGCATTGCCCAAAAAATGGTACCGCTGGATTGTTGGTTCGTGGCTCCGTTTTTGCCGGTAAAGGATCCTTTTTTGACCCAACGAACCAGCCCCTGTACCTCACTGGCAACCATCGTTATTCCAGAGGCTCAAACACATAAAACAGGGTTGTTTAAATGTCAGCATATGTCAGCTGAATTTCCCCCATGCTTCACACAGAAAATCTGGTCAAGCAGCGGCTGGGGGTTATCTTCCTTCAGATCTGCTGGGATCTGCCCCTGGCCGGTCTTTTCGGATCACCGGCCCCATCCAAATTGTTCTACATCCAAATACGGCGAGAAACGACAAAGGAGTAAATTAAACCATCAACTATAGCTGACTACCTCTTACTCTTGTAGAACATGGCCGAACAAGCAAGTCAACTATAGTCAACTATAGCCAACTGCATGAAATTCATATTGGCTGTTTCGCTTGGTACCAAGGCCTCTGGAATGTGGAAGGTGGTGATTCCACTTGCATCCCACACCTTGGCGCCAACTGAGGCGCAGTTGACGTGGAGATGTCTCAGGGACGGCTGAAGATACCAATAAGAAACCATGTATTCATGGTTTGTGCGCTAACCAAAACCTTGAAAAAACGTGTTTTAAGCAAATGGAATTCCAACCCGAACCCAGGTAGATCAGCTAACGTTTTCTGCTGGGCACCAGGCTGTCACTAGGACTCCAGGGTTGTTGCTGTACCTTAGCTCACGGTCTCTTCGACATCATTGGAATAGCGTGGACATATGAGACAAATGCATCTTGTGGTACCATGCTCATCAAAAAAATGGAGCACATACCAAATGAACCCACTAAATCCATCTAAATCCTATTATCTGGCTTTATATGATTTGTGGCTATGAACATTCATCATCATTCCATCATTCATCCCATCTTCAAACTTTGCAGAGCTTTGTCGTGGCTATGCCCAGCACATCCCAGCAGCAGCTGCCCTTTTTCAGCACCGCAAGCGCGGCTGCTGTGATTCGGGCGAAGGTAGTTGACCTGCCTGGCCATGGGGGGTTCCCTTTTTTGACTCTCAGGAGGATTATATGATTATATATGTAGATAATTGTAGATAAATATTCAGGACTATGTAGAAAAGTGGATGAATAGATATATCAGATAAATAATGATAAATAGATAAAGATTGAGGAAACACATTCAAAATATGTTAACACTGCCACATTGAGGGAGTGCAGATATGTGCAGATCTTGAGTCAGATGATCCCGCATTGTTTCTGAGCACCTTCTGCGATAGCATGGACCCAATAAGACCATCACCTTCAAAATTGATGTTTATTGGGTCTTATTGGGTCCTATGGGGTCTTATTGGGTCTTATTGGTTGCCAATTGATGTTTGTTTCTCCAATTCCTTTTTCCACTCCCGGCAGCCGACAGCCCCAGCTCTCTTTTTCTTGGCCTTCCTGACGCGCTGTCCGCTTTCGTTCAGCCGAGGCCTGTGTTTTTTGGTGCGCACGGCTCCAATTTTGCAACAAGCGCTCCAATTTCTTTCCTTAGAACCGTCGGCTCAAGCAGTGCTGGCAAATTCTAGCGGGCTTTGTGTTTATTTGGAACAACTTGCAAAACCTTGATGTCTCACTGGCCAAACTAATCAAGTACCATCTGGGACTACATCAAAACAAGACATGCCAAAAACAAGCATTCCAAGACGTGTATGACGTGTTTTCCTATTCCGTTCTTCTTCTTGGGTTTGTTTATCAATCGTCCCATGGTTGGGCATAGAACTGACGTGAAGTGATGATGCTGGTACTGCTGATGATGGTGATGGGTGGAAACACCATCATAAACACTCCCCATTTCACTGATCCTGTCCCAAACCAAGTGGTTGTTTCGAAAAGCATCAAACATCAACAAACCAAGCCAAATCTGGATTAAAACACTATGTCTTATGCCTCCAATCTTCCTGATTGATACTCTGTGTGTGTGATACCAGTGATACCCACTTTCTTTCTGGTTGATATCCTCTGACCTGGCATAACTATGGAAAATGGCATGATTGGTTCGATGATTTAGCTTTGATATTTCCGGTGGTTTCCCAAAGCTATGTAACAAATTACCAAGGGGATCCAAGGGGTATATGTTCTATCATCTTCTATCAATGTTCTTGGTTGATACCCCCCATCTTTTCTGGTTAGATATCTCCCCAATTGCCCCACCATGCCATCGTCCCCCTTACAACGGTGACCGGAGCATCGTTTCTGCGACACGCTCCGCCAGTAGCATTGGCACCGTTTGTCCTCCGCCTTCATGCGCGGCCGCTCGTAGCGGCGCCGAAGGCTGGCCGCTTCCTGGGGCAATGGTGGAATAGGTGGAATGAAACCCCAATGGGGAATATGTATGTCCTTACTATGTAGTGTGGAACTATGAACCTATGGAATATTTATGGAATATTCATATTCCTATAGTGTTTCATAGTGTAAATAGATCTATATCATACTGTGCGCATATATGCAAATATACGTATACTTGATAATGATTGTTGGTATTTGGGGCGTATCTATATCTATCTATTTACAGTATCTAGCGGGCGGACAGGAATGTGGAAGTTGAATTCCAGTCACCGACTGCAAACATGTACAGTGTACATTTGGGTGGCATCAATTTAGTACCTCGACATAGCCAAATTGTCACATGCCAATGAAATACAAGAATGAGGGATGGTTGCCAGCCATAATTTCCCAACCTGGAACGGAAGCAGAAATTGATCCCTTAGAACACTGGTCGCTTCCTCCAGTGTATCGACGCATCTTAAACCCAGCATCAGTTTTCTGCTGTCGTCGTCTCTTCCTTTGCAGATTTCGTTCCAGCTGCCTGCGCCTCTTTTCCAAAGTCGCACACCTTTTCTTTTCCTGTCTGGCCTTACGCAATGCGGCAGCCATTGGCCAATGAAGAGCAACAGAACACCACTGGCCATGGACTCCAATGTACGGCAGTTAAAGACAGAGGGTCCCACCTGGCCTTGAGGCCGTCACCAATGGGTGAAAAAGGCATTAAACAATGTTTTAAAAAACATTTTTTACATGCCTGACTATGTTGAATACCTAAGTGAATAATTCATCATAAGTTCCGAAACCTCACGGCCATGTTTTATGATGTCTGATGTTTTTTCCAATGTCAATCACCATGTTTGCTGACTCTGTTTCAAATTTCTATACGAATCCCTCTACAAATCCATCCAGAACTATCACATTTTCATACTTTGACATAGGGGGTTCCTGAATTGGGGTACCCCCAAAGAATCCATGTTCAAATTTTCAAATGTTCATAGGACTTTCCATTCTAAACCATCCATAAATTGGGGGCCCCCATTGGACTGTGTGCTCTTCTGGCTGGTATCGGTCACACCGTGAAAATCACGTTTTTTGCCCTCGAAAAGTTGAAAAGTCGAAAAGTTCACCTCCCAGGAGATTTCGGCTCGAAAAGTCGAAAAAATCTAAAAATTCGAAAAGTCGAAAAATTCGAAAAGTCGAAAAGAAACAATCAAGTAAACAAAATATACAGGTTCAAAACCAATCAATACATTGAAACGCTCCACACGGTGACAAGATTTGATTTGAGAGCAAACACTTTCCACTTGAGATTGCGGTGCTATCATCAGTACTTAGAAGGAATCCAAACAAACTGTCCTGCATGTTGTTCTTGATATCTATTAATTCAAGTTTCTTCCGTTCGCTAAATTCGACCGCAGCCATCATCACGACTTTCCAGTTGACACAGCTGCGCACGCCTGTGAGGAATCATTCTCCAATTGGCAGTGACCACGAACGGTGGCGGACTGTTCTGAAGCCAAGCACTTTCCGGGCGAATCAAAAAAGAATCGTGTCACGTCGATCTGGTTTTAGACATCATGCCTCTGAAATCTATTTGGTTTTTGGTGATAAAGAATAAGAATCTACTGGCGTGCTCGCAGAAAACCGCAAAAGACAATGGAATTGCGAGATGCAGCCACCTTATGAATATATGCACCGATGATGATACCATTGGCCTTGCTGGGTTCCAACACCTGGATCTTCCCAGTCGCACATGGCAGCTGGAGTTTTTTTGCTGGCCAAGACCTGGTGACTGTCAATGCCTTTGGGTCAGTCCACAGCTGCACAGTCATCCATCCGTGTGAGTCCTTGGCCTGCTTGTACATAGCAGCCACAACATTGGCCTTCAGCACCGTGATCTGAAACTCGGCAGAGGTAAGAGGTTGATCGATCACCCACTCCACCTGCGTCCGTTGCTTGGGCTTCACATACTCCTTCCTTCCATTCTCTTTGAAGCAAGGACTGGATCTTCACCTTTACCTGCCCACCTTCAGGCTCACTTCGAAGCACCAAAGTCACTCCACTGTCATGAACTTCTTTGATCTCTCCAATGACATCATTATCCTGGATGGTGACACCAATCTGAAAGCCCATTGCGGCCAAGACGTCCATCTGATTCTTCAGCTTGCGTACTCCCGGAGGGATGTGTGTGCACTTCCAGTGCCATTGCCTTGGATTTTGCCTTGGGTTCTGCACTTGCTTCCTTTACCCATGCCTGCGGAGGATCCTGTGGCTTCTCAATCTCCATGCTGCACTCCCTCAGCACAGCCAAGGCTGCATCCTCCATCTTGGCAAATTCCCTGGTCTTCTTGTCCAACGCCACGGCGCAGATCATGCACTTGAGCCGGCCAACCGCTCTCACCCTGGCAGCTTGCTTCTCACCATCGTCACCTGCCACGGACCTCCACTGGTCCACGATGGTCTTGCCCTTATCGGCTCTTTGCAACGTCTCTTTGTGCGTCAGCGCCTTTTTCCGCCTTCGGGCAACATAAGAACAGTTTCTTGCGCAATATATAAGAGTGATAGTGTGTAGAGATGCATCTTTCACAAGAAGCGAATCTAAAGGCCCAGCTTCTTTGGCCAAAAAATCGCAGGCATGCGTGTAGGTGCCATGCATGGATATATTATATATGCGCAAACCAATGGTATTAAAACATCAGGAAAGAGCTGGTGGAATGTTCGTCCCAGAGCAGTCCCCATGCTTGATCAAAGCATGACGCCACCACAGCATAGGCCCAGACTTCACATCCTGGAGAAGCCATGGCTGGGTATAGAATGCGCGAATCACGGGCATCGTTGAACCATTTCACGCTAAGTATTGACTATGTGGGCCCAACTGCTTCTTTGCAGTGCAACGCAGTTCCACGCAGGCCAAACAATCTCGAACTGTTTCTTGCTGTTTGCTGAACCAATGAGACCATACCAAGAAATGCGCCAGATCTCTGCGTACCAATTTCAATGCATCCAACTTGATCGAGTATCTGCGGGCAAAGATCAACTTCCAGTTGTTGGTTCACCGAAAAACCGAATCTCAAATTTGTGTTCTCTTTCACTGAAACTAGTTCGCAAACACATATATGAAAGACATTTCAAACGTTTCCTCATGGTTCAAAGTCCAGTCAAACGTCCAAACCAACAGGTTTTGTCAGCGCTCCAAGTCTGCCAAACAGACTGCTTGCAAACAGATATATCATATATCTACTTCGCGTAAGCAAGAACTAAAATGACTGAACACGTGCATGGGCATGCAATGATCCAGCGAACAATGTTTTTTAGAGATAATCAGCATACACGCAGCGAAAGAAAACTTGGCAAAGCCATCGCCCACTTTACCGTCCACACAATATTTCTTTCAAAGGCACATTCTGAAACATTCCGTACTTTCCTTTCAATCCCCAGCATTCAAAGCCGCCCTCGCAGCACCTAAATTGTTACTGGTTGCTATTTAAATTTCATTTATCATCGTTTAAAAATTCCTGTGGGGGACAGTATTCACAATAAACACGCCCAATGTACATATACAATTACATATCCATCGCGGAGTTTTTTCCTCTTCCTTCCTACATTCAAATAAGACAACAACCTGCAACAACAAAAAATTGGTGCAAATTGTTTTTCCTAGGAATTGGCAATCCATTTTGGAAACAATACAGTAAAGTAAACGCCACGAAAAAAGGTTTGCGCGATGCATGCGCAAGCAATAAAGTATACTTTGAGTGAAGCAGGCGCGGAAAATTTTGGCGATAGCACGCTAAATTCCTTGAAACTAGTTGTGTTTTTCAACATGTGACAATATAGTCCAGCATGATTTCCCACTACACGACCTTTTTTTTGCAACTCAACCCATGTTTTGCTGTCCATGGCCTTACTAAATCCAACCGGTGTGACTTACTAAGTGGGACCGGTCCTACTTACTAAGTAGGACCGGTCCGACTTACTAAGTAGGACATTATCTAGTTATAGGCTTGCTTGCTCTAGTTACGTTAAGTGGAACAAGTCCTCCGTAATTAACTAGCAACTATATACAAGTTGAACGTTAACTAGATATAATTGAGACAAGTAGGTGTCTCACTTACTAAGTAATTATACTTACTTAACAAGTCGGTTTCCTACTTATTCTGAGTTGTTGGACTTATTGGCTGACTTGCTAGACTTATTGCATGACTTGTCAGGCTTATTGCATGACTTATAACCCAAACAACCGTTGCAACTAGTTATAAGAAGGGCCGCACCTCCAAGAAAGTCGAAAAATTCGAAAAGGCGAAAAGTCGAAAAGTTGAAAAGTCGAAAAGTTCACCTCCCAGGAGAGTTAGGCTCGAAAAATTCGAAAAGTCGAAAAATTCGAAAAGTCGAAAAATTTGAAAAGTCGAACACGTTTTGACTTTTTGCGAAAAGTTTTGCAATTTTCGCGCTGTGCGATTGCCGGCGAGATCCGGCGAGAAGAGCGCTTAGCCATTTATGGAACCCCCACACATCTTCAACCAATGATCTCAGCCCTGGCGCCTCCAATTGCTTCATCCACTTCTCGTAGCGTCGCTGTTCCCGCTCGCAGCGCCGCATCTTGGTTTCGTTGAAGCGACGCCAGAGTTCATCCCGGACGGGTGCCCGGTGCTGGTACATCCTTGGGCATTGGGAAGCGGTTGATAAAATACCGCTGGTAAGGGAGGTCGGAAAGCCTGGAATTTTCATGTACCTTAATGGGGAGTAAAACTTCATGTGATCTACATTAAAGGTGAGTCGGAACCACTTAGCTGTTACATTTGCAAGGCCTAAACAGATGTGAAACAAATGCGGCTGAAACCAATGACCAAATCTTCTCGTGTTTGGGCACGATTGCAAACGAGGCATGATGGTTCCCGAATGCTTCTCTGTAGCATCTAGCAGCTAGCAAGTCAAAAATGGCAGTCACAAACTTGATAGCACGACATCATTTTGTTCTATGACTCTACTTTATTGATATAAATCTAATGTAAGATATCAGAAATAGATTCTTTGTCTAATATCTAATATTCTTCCATACTTGCAGCACGCGATTGAGTCAATGGACATCTGACAGGACACCCATACCCTTCATCGTGTTTCAAACCAGGTGTCCAGAAAAAAAGCTAAACCAATCTAGTGATTCTAAGATATAAAACCATGTATAAAACCATCTAAAACCACAGAACACCACTAAAAATCCATTCAAAAACACCTTAGTCCCCCGGGCAACTTGGTATCACCGCCTAGGTACTGATCCAGTTTGACCATCCACTCCTGGCCAGTGCAAAAATAGGTACCCCATTCTACATGAACGATTGTGAATGGTTAATACGAAAAATGACATATTAGGACCACATATATATATATACCTTGACTCTCCAACGACCCTTAATTTTTGGGGTCTTTCAAGAAAAATGACATTTTTTTCCGAAAGTACTTTTTTTGAAATCAAGTACTGTTTTTTGCATGTTAGTGATGTTCACTCACGGAGGTACAGCTGAAACTGTGGAAATCAAATAAATGTGCCACATTGCCAACTTGCAACTCATTGTTGCAGGTGCCATTTTTTTTTTGGCTGCTTGAAGGTGCAGGAGCAAAGATTTCCAAACTATTGGTTCTCGTTTACGTGTTTGATGCCATGGTTTCGATCTTGCTTGCTTTGGGTTTTGGACGTGCTTTGCTCTTTCATTATTGCACGCATGAGGGTAGGTCTCAACACTCAGCTGCGGACACGCGGGTGAATTGCTCAATTTTGGTGACAACTTGTCCTTGGAAGATTTGCCCATACAACGCAAACATGCAAAGGCCTTTTTTCTTCAAACGTACCTTTTTTTGCTGAGGGACGGCGTCCGAAAGTACGGAAAAATGCGTCCAAAGTACGGAAATATCCGTCCGGCTTGGACCCGTCCGAACCAAAAGGACTTTTTTCAAAAAAACGCACCTTTTTTTTCACGTCCGTCCGTCCATCCGTCAAAACTGTTTCAGCAGCTGGCACCAGAAGATGTGCTCAAACCCCGTGTGTATTTTCGCATAAGTGTCGCAATGTGCAAATGTTTGCCCCCGCAGCTCATTATCAAAAGCAGGCGAAGGTTTTATATTTCGACACGAATTGTGGATCCAAAGCTTTTCAGCCATAAAGTTTTAGTTATGCGCCTGGGTCTGAATGATGTGTGAGGGTGCCTGATCCAACATTACACAGGACAAGAACAAAACGCTCACATGATTTAGCTTAGTAATGCCTAGTGTATATAGCCAGCACCTGCTTGGAAGATAAAAGGCCTTTTTTGCATGAAACGACCCCAAAAAGTATCAAACGTACCCAAAAAAGAGGTGTTTTGCAAACGACCCCAAAAACGAAGGGTAGTGGAGACTCCAGGTATATATAGGTCCCCCAGGTATTATTAATGGATATTAATGGTTAATATGTTCATGAATTGCTCAAATCTGTGGTCCCCATTGGTCCCCCCAGGTCTGAAATTTTGACACCAAAAAACCCCTAATTAATGATATTAATGGGAAGATGATGGAAGATGACTGTAAACACCTCCCTTGAATTAATATTAGAAGATTTTAATGTGGATAGTAAGACTATAAGACTCATCTTTTTCGTATTGGGATGTTTTCATTCCCCCGTTCACATTAAACACACCAGAAAGTATGATCCCCAAATCTTGCGTAAATCCCCTATATCCACCATGGTTGTAGGTTTTTTTAAATAACATGTTTAATATTGGCGGGAAGAAACATATAATGGGACACCTAATACATAATTAGATTAACTAGTAAAAGAAAAGTTTCTCCAAAGTCCTCTTTCATATATCACACTGACATATCCCCACCATCATCCCACCATTTTCCACCTCTTCCACAAGCCGCGTCCTTCCGACTTTGGCCGCGCCGTTCCTTGACGTCCAGAAAGACGTCGCGGATCTGGTGCCAGCGCTGCTCCACGTCGCGGTGTGGCAGGGCCGTCAGGATGCCATGGCGTCCGGCGCCGGTGAAGATCTTGTCGTTGCCGCGGGCCGCTTGGAAACGGAGCACCACCTGGTACAAAATTGCGGCTTGGAACACATGATGATATGAAATCATCTATGTGACAAGATGAAATATGACATATGAAATGTGATAATGTAGATAATATAATGTATATATATATATATGATATGATATATGCTATAATGATCATTTATGATTATTTATGTATTGTCTTTCCACACATTTTCTGATCAAACAAGCCAAATAATGTCTCTCTTGGGTGCAACTTCTGCGGCAAATATACGGTGGAAGTCGGAAGCGATTTTAATATATTTTAATTGTACCAAATGCATGCATAACGTTTGCATATACCCTCCGGTAAACTAACATAGCTATTGAAAATGACCATTTCTGGTAGATTTTCCCAATGAAAATGGTGATTTTCCATAGTTATGTAAACGTTTACCAGAGGGTAGTACACCTGGCTCTATGAGTATGCACATCAGCAAGCAACCCACCAACTGCCGAGCCACCTCATCAAACTCATCAAGGTTCCGAACACGGTAACCTTGGTGATGGAATTTGGTGCGTCAGTTCACTCTCTACCCGCAGAATCAGTGATGCTGGTTAGACAGTAAACTTGAGACGGTTCATAGTTCAGCTTGCACCAGTTTAACAGGTGTCATCCATCTTTCATATTATCCATTGAGTGAGACTTTTACCATCCCAACAATTGTTTAGCGAACAGTTCAGTCAGAATTTGAACCAGATCCCAGTGGCGAGCGGAAAAAACAGGATCAAGCAATCAAGAAGACTGACGGCTTGGCACCACGTCCAAGCCACATGGAGTCATCAGTGGCACACCAATCCAAAGCCTTGTCTCCAGGACAAAGTAAAAACGCAGCTTCTGCGACCTGCAGAAAAAAAAGAAGTGCAATGGGATGTGTCCTTCAATGTTGAAATGGGGCTACGAGTTGTGATCGGATTATGAGTTATGACGGGGTCTGGGTCACTGGGATTGTCATATTTATATATACTATATAAACGATTCTGATCAAATTATGACCACTTATGATCAATTATGATCAATTCTGATCAATTACGTATGTATCTGTACGTACGGAATCGTACGTATGTAATTTGTGCAATGATGTGGAGTGCATGTATGCATGGCAATGTACTGTAGTGTAATGTGATGTAATGCAATGTAATGTAATGAATGTAGCCAGAAAAAATGTAAATATACTTGCTGAAGCACTATAGTAATCTTGGAACATGACGATAAATGGATAATGAAAGCAACTGGCATGCAAACAAGCGACAAGTCTTGCTCGCACACAGCATGTTCCACTGACACTTCGTGGATGCTCTGCAGGATTTTGTCCTTTAGCCCCGAGGGACTGGGCAGCTGGGAGTTTAGGGAAGATCCCAATCGGTACCCTCTGGTATTCTGGTATATCATCAAACATGGCAATGTGAAATCCCCTGTAAATGGAAGTTTTGAGGGGGGTATCATTCAGGAAAACCCCTAGGAGAAATCGAAAAACTCTATGAATCTCTATGGACTCTATTGTGTTTCCATTGAAATTCTCAGTGCTAGGCTGGTCACCTGGTCCCAAACTTTCTTGTTGAGAAACGGTTGGGTGTCGATTTCAAGGTTAATGGACGGAAACAAACAACCCTCAAAGCACAAAACACCAGAAAATGACGCTCCAATGCACGGGCAATAATTAATAGGAAATATGACCTCTTGGTTCGTGTGCTTATTGGGCAGGGGCCCTGATTGGATGTCTTTTGTTGTGTCAAGATACCAGTACCTCCCAAGTTTGACCAACGGATGTCCATCCAATCCACAGAACGCCATGTCCTTGATGCGACTGCTGCAATTCCGCCGCACGCATTCCGCAATGGCGACCTTGGTCTTCCCCGTGAAGGGAGAACCAACTTCCATGCGTCACAAAGAAAAAAGAGATGCTGTGGCACAGAGAAGGGTTGCAGAATGGGTCTGGAAACTCCAGTCTTGGCAGCCAAACCTACCTACAGTAAATGCATGTTAGATATAAAAAAAACTGTTTGATGTATTTGTCATCTCTAAACAAAGCAAATTCTCCATCAAGTTGAGACCCACACTTGGATTCCACGGCTGAATCCATCGGGTTTCTACCATGTTCTGCTCCAATATGATCAACATGGCACATGGTCGCACCGAGCTGCGATCAAAAGATGAATGTCAATGGCTTCCTCCAGGGTGCGAACACAAACTGCCTTGATCCGCAAACCTTCTACCGACACGGTGGCGCAGTAGAACAAGCTCTGTTCAGCTCCTTGGAACAGTCGTAAACGACACGAGCCAAATGCTAAGAGTCAACGTCTATTCCTACCCCTAGATGTACATTTGAAACTAGTCCCTTGTACATCCTTTCCATTCCTTTCCTATATTGGGAATGAGGGAATACTACGACCCAACTGTGTTGATGATTTCGTGCTGGAAATTCATGCATCTTGGCTTGTTTCCTCAGCTCGACTTGGACTATCTTGACTTCCCCCGAGAGCAGCCTCTAGACTCTAGACATATTCAACATAAAATATTGTTTTATTATGTTTATTATGTTTTATTCCTGTATATGTCTATGATTCTTTGATGACCGAAGAAGAATGTCTCCAATGTCTTCCGATGTCCAGAATCGGTGTAACACGAGGACCATCCGCGCCCCCAGCTGACAGGCGTCTCTTCCGGAAGGTATCAAACCTCACCTTGTGGATTCCTCCTGTAATGCGACGCGTCCGCAAGGCAGGGCTTTGCACTGAAGGACAGGGCGCTGCAGGCTCCTCAGGCTCCTCAGTCCATCCGTTGCTGATTTTGCCATCTCAACTTCTCAACATCATTGGGGGATGGTCTTGAATAAAATCCCAATAGTTATGATGATTTTATTGTCATTATTATCCCAATTCATGAACTTGCCATGATTTGCCATGAAATTCCCATGAAGCCATGAATTGCAGCTAAATCCAAAGTAAATCCACCATTTCTGCACCCCAAATCCGCGCCCAGGCCCAGATAGGCCCAGTGTCCCTTCGCCGGCGCCGTGGGGCCACCATTGGTGCCCAAACAGCACTGGAAGCATCAGGGACCTATCAGGATGACCCGGGGGATGAGGAAGAGCTGCCAAGTCCCAGTTTACGCAATGAAAAATCAACTGAGACTATACTATACATCCCCCTTGAAATTTGGGGAATCTAAGGATGATTATGCCATGCTGTAACAATTGATCTGGGGAATCATCTATGGGAGGATGTGTGATGCCAGATACCAGCGTTGGCTGTCAACTTCGATACCAATCCAAGCACACAAAGGATCTAAGACCCAAGTTTGAACCCGTGTACATTCAAAACCAAACAAAACTTCATTCAAAACAGTTCCATCAACAAGGACCTTTGGTCTTGGCATGCGCCAACTTAGTCTTTGATTAACTCTACAAAGGCCAAACATGCTCCATACTGTCTGTCTCAAAATAGAAAGTCTCAAAAATAGGTGGAAATCTGGCCTTAACCCTGGGATTTTAGTATTCCCAAGATTGAGATGTCCGGCCCAGTTCTGCCTGATCCCTCAGTCGCTGGGCAGACTCGAAAACCGAAGGGCTCGGTGGCTCTTCTGACAGGGTCCTCTAAGTTGGGTGTGTGGCGTTGGACTCCAAAAATGGCGAATTCAAAAGAGAGTGAAAAACCAACAGTGATGGGGATATGATGGTATGTCAAATAAACAAAAAAAAAACAGACTATAAATCCTTGTCAAATTATCAACATTGGAAGTTCCCCATTTTCCTTCGCCTGGTGAAAGGTTCCGATTTTGTAGCAACCAGTTCCCAATTTTTCCCAAGGAAAAAAACAGTGATTTTCGCAGGATTTTCCCAACTTTGTGTGTTAAGTTTCTATGCTTTGGCCAGAAAAGTTCAAGTTGCCCCTTTAAGTGCTCTGCATTGGTAAAGTTGGACGTTTCTGGGAATCATGACATGTTATACAATTAATTATGACGATCAATTATTTAGAGATCATTCAAGAAAGCCATGGATGATAAAGAGTCTGAAACGTACCCAGGCGCTGGGGAATCAGCTGAGATTGCTCAGGGCCAGCATGGGCATCATGTCCGTCGCTGTCGCGGTCGCGCTGCAATTGCATAAACGACTCCAGTTCCAGCCGCTGTTCTTGTGACAGGCGATGTGTGAAGATGTGGCGTCGTTCCTGCAACAGTACCCCGGCTCAACTATACTTGGGAGTTCTTGGCCCTAGGCACTGGTAAATCTGGTAAGGCCCCAAGACAAAACATTGAAATTGCATGAAATTGCCCTCAAAACTCGTGGGCCACAAAAAATGGCGAAACATGAACACCGAATCCGGCGAATCCCAGCATCTGAGGAGGAGATGCACTTGAGCAATTCAACGATTGCGGTCAGTCGCTTCTTCTCAATCTCCTGTTTGGTTGCTCCTGAGCACCAAGGACAATACTGTAACACCTATGAGTCGAGCCTATGGTGATATTCCAACGGTGGCAACACTCCTTCACTGTCCTTTCGGGCATGAGAAAAAATCTGCCGCAGCCCTTGCAATGGACCCTTGCGGAGGGACGCACTGCTGTTGAATGAGCATCATACCCCGATCGGAAAAAATATATAAGTTGTAAACAGTTGAGATGATCCTTTTTGTGAGCCCACAACACCCATATACAACCATCAACCAACGTGGGTTTTATAACCGCCTTTCAACAGTTCCACCAGGGCTCTTCTGCGCTGTCTCGGTGCCCTCTCTGGTGCTTCCAGTCGCAAAGGCTTCTGCGGCGGACATGATGTGCTTGCGGCTTTGCGCTTGCCTTGGGTGGCTCGACATCAAATGTTGCGCAAAATTTGGACCTGCTGAAGGGCCCCAGTGAATCCAAATTGTCTATGGTGGTGAATATAATGTGAATACATTTTGCTATGGCAGCTACAGTATGGTGCACAAAGACATACGTATCAGTGTCTGGCACCAAGCTGGGAGTAGCAAGAAGATGCCCTACCCCAGATCGTTTGATCGGCAAGTGCTATTTTTAGCTTGCACCACTAGATCATACTAGATATACAAGACTCCCACCCGAAACCGCACCCAAGAAACTCAATCGACACATCCCAAATTATCTAAGATGTTGGAGTTTCACCCCGCAACATTGTAACATAAGCCATATTGTAACATCATGTAACATTCTTGAACTTTGTTTGCCAAGACACCAGTGGTTTTCTCCACATCTTTGTTTGTCTTCTTCCGCCCTGTCTTCGCCCTGCGCGGCTCCTCCCTGGGGCGCCTGGCCGCCGCGCGCGGCGGACCCGCGCCGGGCGCTGGCGCTGTCGCCGCCGTGGGCTTCGGGGCCAGGCGCTGGTCGTGGGTGTGGCGAAGGGAGGGATCGGCCAGCTGCTCGAAGGCTGCAATCCTTGGGCCATGCCCCAGTTGTGAGGATGGGATGGTAATGTAGTCGTTTTCAGGATTTTTAAGGTAGTGGTCCCCACGTTTTTTGGAATTTGGACCTCTTCAAACCGTGTTCAGTTCCAGCTGGTGGTGGAAAACCCAACAAGGATCCTTTGCAGGTTCCGTTTTCCCATGGAATTCCACCGCTCCGCCCAGCGTCACTCGCTGGAAGGCTGCCGCCGTTCCTCCCTTGTCCTTACTGTCGTCCCAGGGTCCAGGAGTGATGCCCTCTGGTAACATAGGACTGGTGAGTGGGGATCTTTAGGTTACCAGTAGTTTGATGTAAAACTACCAAAGTTACCAGTGGTGAGTGGGGATCAAACTACCAAAGTTACCATCTGGTTTGTTTTTGATCAAACCCAAATGCTGGTGGTTGCCTTCGTCTGTTGGGATCTTCAATCCAAGTTGGAAGACCCTCAAGACCAGTTCTTGGAAACCAGAACAGACCACATTCCCCAGTAGATTTCGTAAATTGGTTCACAACTCATCATCCATCAGTGAGAAAATCAAGCATCACCATGAGATATTCAAAACATGTCGAAACTCAACGGCATGGTACGTTCATCAATGCGGAAACACATTATACATCAAAAAAAACACATCTTCCAAAAATCATGGATAATCAGCCAGCCCCTGCCAAAGCTGACCCCCACAATAAGGGTGTACTGATGTGTACTGTATTAACATGTATTAACATGTATTAACCAATTATTAACTATTAACCATCTATTGTCATCTTTGGGAGGGCATCGGAAAAAAACAAAAACATCCGGGCGTCAGGGTGCACCTCCAAGGCTTTCCGCCTGTAAGCGGCGCGGATCTCTGCAGGGCTGGCGTTCACGTCCACGCCCAAAATCCTGACAGCTGGTGGCTGGTGGATCTCTACGCAGATCCACAGAGTTTCAGTACAATTCATATCTAAAATGATCTAAGCAGGATGTCCTTGCCAGGATGTCTATCCAGCACTGTGTGCTTTTCTGCTTATTCAAGTCTAGGGTGCTTTGGTCGGAGGATTCTTGCATCCAACTAGATATGTCGAGTATGTAACATGTTTACCCATTTTTGGGGGTTGCCCAGTCCATGCCTAGACAGATTCCGCGTGTTTGTTTTTTTTTTCCGGATTTCCCGTGGGTTCTACCTCCTTTCTCAATGGCCAAATCCCATGTCCTCAATGTCTCAAGGAATGACTCCAAGACTCTGATAGAAGTTCTGGCTGTGCTGTGCTGTTCGCGGCATCTAGCGAACGCATGCGAACGCTGTGATGCGGAGGCTCGCATGGCGCAGAGATCCAGCTAGACATGCTAAGAAGTCAGAGGAATCCAGGCGACGGTTGAACGGTTGGTTGTTTTTCCCTAAGATCACATAATAATCCGGATTCTTTAAGGGGGAATCTACAGGAAGTCACGTTAGTTCTGACCCATCATATGTGGAGGTCTCACACACTTTTTTTTTGAGCGGAGCCCATGAAAGCATGGGTCCTGGCAACAATGCAAATGGATGTAAATGGCTGGCTTGTAAACATGGGCGATTGTTTCATGATGGTTGAGTTCAGGTTCCTTTAGAACAAAGAAAGCGGCTGCACTTTGGAGAAACCGTAGGACGGCGGAGTTCCATCGTCCATGGCCATCAACAACAATGATGTTGGCTTGATTGATTCTCACAGTCCCTTCTCCCTTTTATAAATTTTATTCAATGCCCCCTTCGAAAACCCTACACTGCCGGATCCGCTCCCTTTGGGGGCCCAGATTGGAAGTGGGTTTCCCGAGATGAGACCGTCCTGCAGCCAGCCTCCGGCCTCATGCCGCGGCCTCTTCGGCTGCCGCCGGCGCCGCCGCAGCTTTGGCGGCAGGCACGGCAGGCGCGGCAGCCGCGGCAGGCGCGGCAGCTGGGGCCGCCGCGGCATCGGGGGGAACCTCCCAGGTGGGTTGGGGGAGTCGCAGAGCCCCTGGCCTCTGGGGATAGCTTTCAATGTCTGCTAAACTTGTGGGTTTATTATTGGAGTTTACCACATCAGCGGGGATTCGCCCCAAAAATGGTCAGCAGACGGGAGCGAAGCGAAACAGCATGTTGACTGTCGATCCACAGGTAAATCAAATTGGTTAGGATGGATAAATTGTTGATGAAGGTTTATGATAGTTGCACATAGTCTCCTATGAGAAAGTAGCTTGCAGAAACCATTTTCAATCGTGGTTGCCATCACTGCAGGGTTGATAATTATTTCAAAAAAGTCCCACAGTGCCTGTTGCGAAAAGGCTACCCCCAAAAAACGGAAGATATCGGAAGATATTGAGATTGAAGTAGCACTACTTCATATATTATCATCTTTCCAAAATGCCACCTTTGGGTTTTTCTAGCCATACTGTCCGATCTCCCTGAAGTAATCGGGAACCGAACCTCCTCTTCCTCGCCCTTTTTCTTCTTCCCCCTGGCAGTCAGGAGGTGCCCTGACTGGATCATTTAGTTCCATCCTTGCCAGTGGAACAGCGGGGTTCCAGTCAACTGTCAATCTAATGTGAAGAGTTGTACACCAATCTAGGACTTGTGCCATACACCGTTTGGGCGTTGGCATAGTTCATGAATGTTCATGATATTTCAATCTTTTCCCTGCCGGATTTATAAACTGTATTTCACTGTAATTAACTGGGATACAAGGGGATAACATCAAATTTGGCCAAATCTTTTACATTGACGTTGCATAGTATGTCAGACCCAATAATGAACCATCCCCAAAATCACCATAAATGGGCCGTAGAAACCCGTGCCCAAATAGTAGCCATGTGCCCCAGCTGCTCCAATCAATGCAGGGATCACCGGACGTACTGCATCAGCATGGCAGGAGAATAAGAGATGCCAACGCCCACTGCAACCTAAGGGGCTGGGGCACAGGCAGAGTGACAAATGGTCATGGTGAATCCCCTTGAAGTAACTCCCATTCTCAAGCCCAGCAGCTAGGCCAGATGAACCCATCAGATAGTTTCAAGCAGCTGATATGAACCGGTGCACAGCGTCCAGCTTTGGTGGCTGTCGTGATGATATATGAAATTTGTCAGACGTTGGCGTGCGATCACTGGAGCGCAACCTATAAACATGCCAGTTCCTTGGGGCAATATTATAATCTTCCAGTCATCAACAGCATTTGGAACTACTGACTCGCGGCCATGGCTTTCTTTGACTATCATTGACAACCTTCAAACAGGCCCTCAACCAGGTGCAAGAAACTCCGGTGTAAGAAACTGCTAGACTGACAATCCTCTAGCGCAAGAAGACTAGAGTTGGTTTAGTTTCACTGGAAATGCTTGAAAAGCAAAATGTTCTGCGTTTGAATTTTGTTTCCCCGCATGAGAACATCATGCCACCCTGGAATTGGCACTACGAGACTTGAATCCTGCAGTGCGGCAGGGCTTCCTGATTGATCCTGCACAGGAGTTTTGGGGTATCAGCTACAAGCCCCGAAGATCAAACGCAGCACCTGTGCAAGTTAGCATTTGGAACCACAGATTTTTTCCGCTTTCCAGAACTTCCGCGTCCGCAATCAACTTCCCAACTATGCGTCAAAACTTTTGTCAAAACCCTTTAGGACCCTTCTGTTCCCACCCCAAAAAGGAAGAGAATACACTGAATACACAGAATTTTTGGAAGGTTTTGGGATGTTGAATCATGTTGAATCTACCAAGGTTGGCTATCAACGTTGACTCACCTCTGCCAACTCCCGACGTCCCCGCCCCATTGATGCTTCGGAGCTCCGGCAAAGAGCCAGCCCAGCTTTGTCATGGGTCCTGCTACCTGCCGAATCGAAACCCTGGCCTGGCCTGGTTATATACAGTAGATCACAGTATTCAACTTTTATCAACTTTTTGTAGCACCCTAAACCCAAAATTGTCTGATAAAATTCTTTGCCCCAGCCCATAGCCAGTCTCTCAACCATGGTCTCAATCATCTCACTGCGGTCAACTG